CGCTTCCACGGCCGGGGCCTCTCGGGGTCGGAGGCCCCGCCGCGTCGAGAAACCCTCCGCTCCAAGCAACGGCTCCCTTCCTTCTCGCCCTCTGAGCCGCCGGAGCTCAGCCGCGAGGCCTCCCGAAGGCCGCCCGCGCGTCTCGGGGGTCACCCCTGCAGCGCGGGGCTGCGGATGGCGGCAGATGCAGACCCGCCGCCGGCCCAGCACGAGAACTCACCTCCCGGGAGAGAAAATGGCCGGCCGGAAAAAGAAAGAGGCGGCGCGAAGAACGCCGGGATATGTTGCCGTCGCCGCATCCAAGGCGCCCCGGAAGTGCGACATTCTTCCCGGCCAATCTACGTAGCGGACTTGCCAGTTGCTGTTTCCTGTCGCTTTGCCAGTCACAAAGATGGTGCATGATTTAAAGGAGCCGTCATCCTCACCTCTGGTTTCCATTGAACTGTCTTGCATGGAGCCAGAGAAAAGCAGATCCTTTTTCCTAATCTGATGCCTTCCAGATCTAGTGGATTATATTCCCCCCTCGACTTAATAAATGTGTTGAAGGCTACCGGAGACTAAATCTTGCCTCTTTCGGAATGTTGCTCTAATTCAAGAAAAGAATTTTTATCTTCTTAGGCAGGAGCAGAGAGATGTGCAAGAAGGAAAAGGCGGCTAGTGTAAGCAAAAACCCCACCCGTAGGATGTTGGCTGCCAGACATCAAATATCTGTTAGGAATTAAATCTTTTGAGGCTGGGCTCACGAATTTCTGTCCATTTCTACATCCTTCCAAGGCTTTCAAACTTACCTGTAGCAACAAATTACAACTCTCAGCAACCACAGCGTCAGTTCTGGTCCTAACGAACTGCTACTCAGAAGCCATGCCACCCTGGCCTCTGGCTGTTGGAGCTTTATCAAGCCTTCGTGTGTAAAAGCAAGCCACCTGCATCAAGAACGTTTCAGAGAACCCTCCAAGATCATTTGCAAAAAGGCATTTTCTATCCCACCGAATCTAAGCATTGCCTTGGCGAGCATTAGAGGAAAACGCAAAAATGAGCACCATATTTCAGCTAACATTGTTCTCTAGAATTTTAGGTATTATTAGCAGTTTAATAAAGATGATATTAGCATGTTAACCCCCTTTAGAAATGTAGGAAAACGTGTTTTTCCCTTGAGCCAAAACTATTTCCTTTGATGTGCAAAAATTAAAGGATTTGTTGCTTTCTGACATCATCTTTACTGAATGGTACAGTATGGTTTCATTTGTTCTGTAAAAAGATTTGAGTGCGTTTAGTAAAATGCCTTTTGCTTTACTTGTACTACAAGTGGTTCACATTGTGTGTGTGTGTGTGTGTGTGTACGTGCGTGTGCGCGTGCTTCTTTTTCTTCTTCTTTTTCTTCAGCGTTTGTCTCGCGCTCGGGCAAGGTCCGCTAATGTCCTTGAGTACTGCTTCCACACCTCTCTGTCTGCCACGTATGTCGGGTCTGCCTTCGCGATCTCTAGATCGGCCTTGATCGTGTCCATCCAGCGTTGTTTAGGTCTACCACGCGGTCTCGCTCCTCCGACAGTCACCTTCATTACAGATTTGATGATGGATTCTTCCTTGGCGCGGCTCACGTGGCCGAACCATCGTAGCCGGGACTGCCTCATGACCGTGGGGATGGGCACGACGTTGAACCGTCTACGCACTTCTTCGTTCCTGACGCGATCGAGTAGGGTGAGGCCTACCGACCATCGGAGCATTCGCATCTCCATTATCTGGAGTCTGCTTTCGACTTCTTTGGTCGTCGGCCAGCACTCTGCGCCGTATATGGCCACGGGGCGCACCACAGAGTTATAGATTTTCGCCTTCAGGCGCATCGGCATCTTCTTGTCACAGAGGACGCCCGTGACGGACTTCCATTTGCCCCACGCTGCATTGATCCTGGCTGCCACCTCAGTTTGTAGTAGGCCTTCTTCCCCAAGAGTAATTCCCAGGTACTTGAAGGTGGAGGCGTGCGGTAGCTCCTGCCCGTTCACGTGGATGGAGCCTGTCATTTCATTGTCAGTGGTCAGGTATTCGGACTTCTTTAGGTTCAGCCGGAGCCCGAACTGCTCGAGGCGGTCGTGCCACTGTTGGACTCGGTGCTCGAGTTCAGCCTTGCACAGGTTGGCCAGGAACACATCATCGGCGTAGAGCAGCGTCCATGGGGCGGGCGTGTACAGGTCGTGTGTAATTGTGTCCATCACCAGAATGAACAGCAGTGGTGAGAGAGCAGAGCCCTGGTGTACGCCGACGGTAATATTAAACTCCTCTGATATCCCAGCTGCCGCTTTTACACGGCTTTTGTGACATCTGTATAGGAGTTGGACCCATTGTACGAGCAGCTCAGGCATGCCGTGATCTCGCAGTGCGTACCAGATGAGATCGTGCGGGACTCGGTCGAAGGCCTTTTCCAAGTCTAGGAAGGCGGTGTGGAGCGGGATTTTCTTCTCTCTGTGAGCCTCCATCAGCATCCGCACACCGAAGATGGCGTCGGTGGTGCCGCAGTTCTTGATGAATCCAGCCTGGTTGACGCTGATGTCGACGATGTCCCGAATGCGCTTATCAAGGACGCGTTCAAAGATCTTCATAGTGTGTGACAGTAACCTGACTGGTCTGTAGTTGGAGCAGTCCGCTGGGCTGCCCTTTCCCTTCCAGATCGGAACAGTGGTGCTGCGGTACCAGTCGTGTGGCACTTTTCCCGTGGAGACGATGTTGTTGAACAGCTCGCACAGCCACAATGCCGAGCCCGGTAGTGCCTTTTTCCAGAAGTCGGCAGGGATGTCGTCTGGTCCTGTTGCCTTACCGTTTTTCATGGCCTTGATGGCGTCGGCGACCTCGCTGGCATAAATGCCTGAGACTGGGCCTTCAACTGGGTCACCTCGCGGGGTTCGTGGGTGTGGGAACTCCTCGGTGGAGATCTTCTCGAAGTATTGCCGCCACCTCTCCGCAGCGTCTCTGGGGTTGACGATCAAATTTCCCCTTTCGTCGTTGATCCCATGAAACTGGTCAATGTCCAGGGTCTTCCTGTGTCTGCTTTTGGCTAGGCGGTAGATCTCATTCTCGCCTTCTCGCGTGTTCAGCTTCTCGTAGATGTCATCGTAGTGGGAGCTTCTGGCTGTCGCTACTGCTTTCTTGGCTGCCTTTTTGGCCGCCTTGTATTCGCAGAGCTTCTCGCTGGTCTTGTCCTGAAGAAAGGCCTTGTAGAGCCGTTTCTTCAGGTGTACGGCATCTTGTACTTCCGGTGTCCAGAGCCATGTATCTCGTTCGATGCGTCTCCGTCCTGGCTTGGTGCAACCAAGCTGTTGGCAGCCGGCAGTGTGAACAGTGCTCTTCAGCATGGACCACGCTTCCTGTGGCCTGTCGACCATCTGCAGGAACTGCTCCGGTTTGATGAGGGGTCCCGCCATCTTCTTCTGGTTCCACCACTTGATTCGTGGCTGGTCTGCATTCCTTTTGTCAATCCTGGTCTTGGGCTTGCTGATCCTGATCTTCGCCATCAGCGGCCTGTGCTGACTGCTCGATTCGTACGGGTACACCTTGGCGTTGAGCACGTTTTTAGCGGCTCTTTGTCGTACGATGATGTAGTCGATCTGTGTGTGGTGGCTCCCGTTTCTGCTATGGTAGGTGAGGAGTTGAGATTCTCGCCTAATGAAGCAGGTATTCGTGATGGTCATATCATGGGAGTCGGCAAAGTCCAGGATCCTCTGGCCATTCTCATTCGTATCGCCTGTGCCGTGCCCACCGTGGCACTGGTGTCCGTTTTTGTCCCGCCCTACATGACCATTCAGGTCGCCCGAGATGATGATGTCGTCTTCGTGTGGGATCTGCCTGAGTTGGATGTCGAGCAGTTCCCAGAAGGTATCCTTCTCCTCCTCGTGACATCCGGTCTGAGGGGCGTAGGCGGACAAGATGTGTAGGCGCTGCCTCTCGGTCGCTACGACGATTATCATCAGTCGTTCTGTGAGGCGCTTAACTTCTGCGACGGAACTTTGCCAGCTTGGACTGGCAACCACAGCTACACCGCCGCGGTTTTCCTTACAGCTGGTGTATATGATCTTGTAGCCGTCTATAGTCGTAGCCTTGTTGCCCTTCCAGCGAGTTTCCTGGAGGCAGCAGATGTCCAGCTTCCTGTCCCGCATGGCCCTGACGATCTCGGTCGAGCGTCCAGTCAGCGAATCCACGTTCCAGGTGGCCACCTTGAGCGTCTGGCAGTCCTCTGTTCCCCGCTTGCGTTTTTTCACACGGATCGGGTAGTCTCCGTGCGCATCGGACCCGGACGCAGTCGCCATAGCTTTCTCACACGGTGCAGGTGCGCCGTGCTTTCCGCGTGGACCATTTCGTTGATTTTTGGCGCAGGCCAATGGTCTCCTGTGCCCGTCGGTTCCCCCGAACGCGGTAGCATTGGACGTGTGTTTTGTAGTGGACGTTTCCACCATGTTGATGCGGCATTTGAGTACTCCAGCCGGCCTGTCGCGTGGGCCTGTCGTCGGAGGGTCTGCTCTCAGTTACGGTCAGCGTTTGACGGCTTCGCGCATCCAGGGAACACCACTTGGAGGTGGCAGACCGCTCGTCCCCCGTGCGTGTGCGCGTGCATGTGTGAAAAAAAAATGTGTGAAAAAAACATGTGCGTGTTCGCGTGCATGTGTGAAAAACCCACTTTGCAAAGCTATTGTTCCTTTCTCAATTTCAGGGACTGGATTCTCTCCATCTCCATAGGACGGGGCTGCAATAGGTAAGTGTTAAAGGCAGTTGCACCACTTTGGCAGAAACAATGGGTCATGCTCAATAAGCAATGGAAATAGGCAATAAATAACAACAATAAACAATTACTTTTTTGAATTTGTAATAAAGTATTTTAAATATTTGGACAAAGTGGAATCCTTGGTGTTCTCTGAGCTTGGTTTGCTTGCGGACATTTAATTACCCAACAACTATAGGTAACATCATCAGTGCCAGTGGGTGTAAGATTGGCACTGTTTATATACAGTAGCTCACACTGCGTGGGCGGGGTGTGATTTTCCTCCCGTCAATGTCTTCATCAGGGCATTGTTTTCTGCTTGAATGTTTGTTTGAAGTTAATCCCTGCTTACCAGAGTGGAGGCTGCTGGAGGGGATGAGTTTTGCTCTTTTTGTTTCCTTCGTAGCTTTTTGACCGTCTCTTTTAAATGGTGTGTAAATATTAGATTAACATACAATTGTTTAAAAAGAGTATGATCATATAGCACTAAATCATGAACTCACAAATGTAATAAACCCATTTTTGATGCAGACAGGAGGAAGATTCAAGAAAAATCAAATAAAGAACCATCATCGTATTTGTCATCCCGAAATCCAAGGATAACACCGTTCAGAACAGAAGATAGGAAATGCGGTTTTCCTAGTTAACACCCCCCCCCCTTTAAAGTTCAACAATACTTGGATCGGCAGCACTTCTAAATCTTTATTGAAATACAGCAGCCTGCTGGAAACAACATACAAGATCATCCATTGTAAACAAAGGCAAATATATGTGTATAGCCTAAAATGCCACTTCATTTATGCCTAAATTTGAGAAATGGGTTTCCACAAAGATGTTGCCAGGCTGCAGACAAGCACAGGGAGCTTGTGTGGCTTTACTTTAGACGCTGCTGAGCCCGGATCCTCAGCCACCTTTGCTCCCTCACCAAGACCCATTCAGTTGTGTTGCATATAGTCAGCTTCCCCTTGGAAATGTCCAACATCACCAGGCAGGAACTGGGTGGCTTAACTGGAGTTCTCCACCAGAAGAAATTGGGGTGCAGTTCCTCAGCAGACCACCGGGTGGCAGATGCTGATCACAGGAGGCGAGAGTCTGGCACAAGGGGGCGCTGGCATAGCAGGACTAGAGTAGTTGCTTCTCTCAACTCTGCAATGCAAGGGCCCACTTCGAAACTCTCTAACATGCCTCTCTGCACAGAGATAGCTCAGTGCCAGCGCACAAGTCAGAGTCCCCCCCCCCGCCCCCCCATCCAAATGCCTGGGACGGTGACCCAGGACTCTCCAAGGAGAGGAGGAAGTGAGGTGATGCTCCAAGGGGCACCCACTGCTTTGGACAGACGTGAACAAACATTCCCTCTGGGAACTGCCACCTCCTAAAGGCAAAACTGGGCCTGTCCTCCTCCTCCTCCTCCTCCCTGTCAGCAGTGCCCCGAACAGTTGATAAAGCTCACGTCCCTCCAGTTCCTACATGCACCACAGACACAGCAGCAGGAAGAAAGCCCTAGGATCTAAGAAATGGGACCAACTCAGGCTGCTGGGTACCGGATCCTTATCGGCGGGCAACCAAATGGTTCGAGAGAGGATAGCTAAGCAGGAAACCCCAGGCGGAGAGCTGGGTTGGTTCTCTCAGACCAGAGCCAAAGGGGTCTCTAAGATGGTGCTTCTGGCACTGTTCACCGCTTGGCCTGCCCACTGCCCCACATCCAAACTGGGCTGGGTTCAGGGCGCAAAAATAAACATCCTTAGCACTTCTAAGTTTGGAAGAAAAACCTGAATCCAACCGGCTACTCGCTTCATGATGGCGTTTCAAACATAGCTCAGGTGAGGCTCCTGCTCCTCCTTGTAGGGGGGCAACTGGGGAGGCGGCTCTTCCTCTCCTCTGTCCTGCTTGTCTCTCTCGGCTTCTATCCAGCTCTGGGGAGAGATGGTTTTCTTGGGCCCGTGCGGGGGAGGGCCGAGAAGGGCTTCGATGTCCTCGTAGTTGACCACTTCGTTCTCCAACAGGGCGTCTGCCAGCTGGAGAGGAAGGATTGGCAGGCTTAAATAAATGCGCCTTAGCAGAAGGTTCCGCATTTGCCACAGGAGTCAAAAACGCCACAGGGACCTGATGCCCTGCAATGCACCAAGCAAGGGGCCTTGATAACGGGACAGGCCTGGGCCCAGCAAGCCCTCCGAAAATGCAGAGCTCTGGGTGAAGGGGTTGGCCCCTCCACTTCCAAAGACTGGGAGAGTTTTGCGGTCAACTACAAAACGGTTTTGCACCCAGGAAATCCGGCTCTAGAAAACCCTTCTCCCCTGACCGATGCCTTCCGGCTAAGGAGCCAGAAAGAGCTGCCCAGAGCGGGAATTGCCCTGCCAGTGGGAAAACTGAAAAGTGGCAAACCTGCCACTTTTTCTTTTGAGAATGCCGTGTATCTGGAATATCACAACCTGCTTTTACTTCGGCATCATCTACATCCAGACATTCCAGAATGAAATCACAGACCTGCCTGTTCTGGAAAAAAAAACCAAAATGCTCCGGAGGGATACCACACCCGACATGAAATGTTTTGCACATGCTTGGCAATCTCTTTAAGTTTCTGGCACTGCCCAGGTCAGAGACAACACGGGGCAGAATTCACCCTCTTTGCCCTGCCATGGATCCTGCTAGCCCAGAAAAGTCGAGGGGGTGAGAAGGTGCACTATGGGCATGCGGAGCCCTGCACAACTAGGTGTACACTGGAGACCAAAGCTTCCTGCTCCTCAAGGGAGGACCTGGTCCACTTCAGAGTGCAGGAAGCCCCTCTCGGTTTCTCTGGCCTTCCGAGGCCCGGAGAGGCTTTCCACACCACTTGGCTTCTTGGCTCCACCTGCACAAGAGGGGCAGTCTGTGGAGTGCTGCAGTGAGGTCATCCCAGCAGAGGCCTCACCTCTTTGCCAGCTTTCAAGCAGGGGTGTTATTATACTTTTTTCTTTAATACCATACTTGCTCTGCGATTCACTTGAGCCTCCCAAGAGAAGCCAGAAGGGAGCAACTTGCTAGGGACTGACTGCCGATCCTTTTCCGGCCTTTTGCCCTCCCCAGCCTCCTCGACCCCCCAGGATTGTAAAGGGCCTTTACCATCTTCAGTTTGTCCCGGTTGTCCATCAGCAGTTTCTCTGTGCGCCGGTACGCTTGGGCTATCAGCAGCTTTGCTTCCTGGGGAAGAGAGAACCGTGGAAGGAAGGGGAGCCACAGCTGACTAAGGCCACTGATCCCAACTTTTCAGTGAACGCTCCCAGCCGGGAGAAGCGGCGGCTGAGGGTCCAGTGTCCAAGAGGCAGGATTAGGCCAGTTGGATCATCTTCCTGCCTGGGAAGCTGCGGTGGGGAGGGGTCCCCCCTCAGGAGCCCTGCAACCGGAAAGAAGCCAGTCCCGTCTCCCCTGCAACTCGACCCCCCCCCGGGAGAGCCTTACATGGTCCATTACTTGCTGGAGCCCTTGGCTGAAGGGGCGCCGCCCAATCCCTGGACCGCTTTCCGTCTCTGGGAAGGACAGGTGGCCGATGGAGGGCATCATTCCGTACTGTTTCACCATGGAGTAGGCTATCCTGGTGACCTTCCGGAGGTCATCTTGGGCCCCTGGAGCAAAGCAGGGTAAGAACGGAGGCAACGGACGCTGGGAAAGTCTTCGAAGGCGACCGAGGGGCTTTTCCCATCCCACCCAAAGGGAGTCGCTTCCTGGCCCTTTTCTGCACAAGGCCGGCCCTCCTCACCTGTGGTCACTTTGTTAAAGGTGATGGCTTCTGCCACTCTGCCCCCCAGCGCCATGCACATCCGCTCAAAGAGCTGGTCCTTGGTCAGCAGGTACTGGTCCTTGGGCAGGATCTGGGCAAAGCCCAGCGCAGCGTTTGTGCGGGGAGCTATGGACACCTAGGGCAGAGGAGAGCGGGGGGGGGGGGGGGGGATGGTGAGCCGACTGGTCTCCCTCTGCGTGCCTAGCTCCACGGCAGAGAGCCAGCTGACCTTCAACACTGCTTCGGTGTGCTCCAACAGCCAGCCCACCAGGGCGTGGCCCGATTCGTGGAATGCCACCACCCTCCGCTCCTCCTGCGAAAGGATCTTGTTTCTCTTGGCAGCTCCTGTGAAAGGTGGGGGGGGGGGAGAGAAAGCTCTC